ATAATGGATCAGCAAGAAGAGCAACATTTGCATGTTCTTTACTTTGAGGAAGGATGTGATCCTTCCACCATTTGCCAAATTTCCTTCTTTCTCTCAAAAGATATCTCCTTTCACTTATAGAAGAACATTTGCCTTCTTGCACTCCTTGTTCTTTTTCAACTCTTAAACCTTGTCGTTTTTCACTCAATGGTTGGTACTTTTCATCATTATCATCATCCCAATCTTCAAAATCTTCATTTCTTTCATTGTTGGTCCTAGCAATTATAAGAGCCTTCATCTTTTCAACCTTCTTTGGCTTTTCATCTTCATCATCTTCATTGTCTTCATCTTCTTGTTTCTTTGCTGAATTCAAAGATGTGTCCACAAACACACCATTACTCCCACTTGGACACATCTCTAAGTGCTCACAAGCACTCTTGTGCTCCAAAAACTCAACATCATGACTTTTGATGATCTTCTTGGTTTCCAAGCACATTAGCTTATATGCCTTAGTACCTTCACGATAACGAAGAAATACACACTTTGTACCTTTTGCATCAAGTTTGGACTTCATACAATCTGGTGTTTTTGCATATGCAATACAACCAAAGGTCCTCATATGGGAAATGCAAGGTTGTCTTTCATTCCAAGCTTCTTGTGGTGTCATTGATGCAAGTGCACTTGTTGGATATCTTTTTCTTGTATACACTACATTTACCACAACTTCCACCCAAAACTCATAGCCAAGGTTTTGACCATGAAGCATGCTCCTTGCTATCTCTATAATGGTTCGATTTGCCCTTTCAGCAACATCATTTTGTTGTGGAGTGTATGGAGTTGTGATTTGTCTAGTAATTCCTCCATTCTTCAAATAAACATCAAATTGCTTAGACATGTACTCACCTCCATTGTCCGTACACAGCACCTTGATCTTGCATTCACTTTGGTTCTCAACAAGTGCTTTAAACTCCTTAAACCTCCAAAAGCATTCACTCTTGGCTTTAAGAATGTAGATCCAAATCTTTCTTGAATAATCATCAATGAAAGTAAGAAAATACCTTGATCCTCCAATACTTGTGTTCTTCATAGGTCTACATACATCAGAATGGACAATCTCTAGCAACTTAGTAGCACGTGTTGCTACACTCTTTGAAAATGAGGCCTTTTGTTGTTTGCCTTATATGCATCCTTCACATGCAAGTTGTTTTGCATTATGGCTTGTATTGCCAAGATCTAAGCCAATTACCATGGTCTTGAGCTCTCTCATGCTCTTTATATTCAAATGGTGAAGGCGACGATGCCATATATTCAACTTGTCTTGGTTTGATGTAAATTCAACAAATGCAGCTATTTCTACTCCATTCACCTTCTTACAAATGAAGTAGTACAAATTTCCTTCTTTTAAGCCTTTGAAGACCTTGTCTCCACTCAATATTCTTACAAAACATCCATTCTTGTCAAATTAAATTTTAAAACCTTTTATTACAAGTTTACTCACCAAAAGTAGATTTTGCTTCATCTTAGGCACATGAAGGACGTTTTTGAGTCTGATCCTATTGGTTTATCCATTCACAACCACCTCTACCATAATAGAGCCAATTTCAATGGCTTCACATGTATTACTATCTGCCAACACCACATTTGATGCTGAAATAGCCTCATAAGTATCAAATGAACACTTATAAGGTGTCATATGCTTGGAACAATCTGAATCCATAATCCATCTTGACATGGCAGCTATAGAGGTCCCATTTGTTGCCGTGAATGCATAATCTTGTCTTCCAAACTCATCTTGCACACTATTTGCATTCTCCTTCTTCATCTTTTTGCCTTTGTAGCAATTTTGAACAAAATGGCCTATTTTGCCACAAATGAAGCAAGTTTTGACATTACCTCATTGATTTGAATAGTTACCCTAGCCTTGACGTGGATAGAGTGTTGAATCTTCACTTTGGGGCTCCTTTTCTTTCTTCTTGGATACTTCATGGACAAGTCTTGCCGTCACATAATCCATTGTAAGCTCTTTTAGTTTGATGGACTCCATTGCCACAATAAGGTAGTTGTAGGATTCGAGAAGGCCTATTAGCAAAGTCATGATAATATCACTTTCTTCTAAAGGCTTGTCAATAATTGGTAGTTGGTTTGCAAGAGCCTTTACCTTATTGACATGAACCATGAGGTCTTCACCTTCTTCAATCTTGCAAGTAAAAAACTTCCTCCTTGTATAGATAATGTTGGATAAGTTTTTGCTCTCATAGATGTTGCAAAGAGTCTTCCATGCTTCTGCTGGTCCTTTGTAAGAGATAATGTGGGAGAAGTTGGCTTCATCTACATTCATTGCAATCAATCCAAAAGCCTTCTTTTCATGACGTTTGAACTCCTTCTTCTCCTTCATATCAACAGCTTTGCTTGGAGCCTCTTCACTTTTATCTACAATATCCCAAAGATCCAAAGATGCCAACAAAAGCTCCATTTTTACCTTCCAATGGTAGAAATTGTCACCTCTAAACTTCTCAATAACTCTCAATCCTTCACTCTCACTTGAAACCATGTTTAAGGAAGAGTTATATCAAAAAATTTGTAAGAAGAAGTCCTAATGCTCTCAAAAATCAGCAAGAAGGTTTTGTTGCCTTAGAATCCCAGAATCGTTCTATGTTAACAAACTAGTATTCTAACTCTCAAAAACTCTCTCAACTTCACTTCCAAAACTTGTCATAAGTCTGATGACTTCTCTAAGTGTCTCAAATCTGATTTGCCACTCTAATATCTTTTTTATGCTCACAAATCACCTCTATATGCCATAAGAAGCCTTTTAAGCACAATCAACAACTTTAGGAAATGAAATCATAAAGTTAGATTACGAAGGATCTATCTCAGCAAAAGCACAATGCAAACTTTGTCTATAGGTGAAAAACAAGACACTAACACCAAAATGCTCTTAACCACAAGTAAGAGCAAACCATAATCTAGATCTAGATCTGAATCTGAAATTTAGGTTCTTCCAAAGCGTAACATCAGCAACAACAACTTGATTTATTCCACACTTACAAAACCACTTCAAAGAACTTCAAAAAAATACTGAAGCAAATGTGTGTGGGTCCATAACCTATTGAAGAAAAGAAGTCTAAAAGCTACAAACACTTAGCATCAGCAAGGATTGTAGTCTAAGAGAAGTGTAGAGAAAGATGATTCTTACTTCCAACACTCTTTACTTATAGGTGGTGGTTTGCTCACCAACGAGGCAACTTCCATCCTTTTGATATTACATCCATTTCTACCTCATCCAACTAAACCCTTGATGCCACCACAATAACTTACTTTAATTCTTTGCTGCCTTTTTACTATTAGCAACATACTATGCTTAATCTCTATGTGGTTGTAACTGATCTTCAATATAATTAAGAAATTTTAATCATAGGGGTGAATTTGAAATTTATTTTGAAGCATAATGTTTTTATTTATAAAACCATATAAAAATAAAAGAAAGTCATAAAAATTTAAAATAATAATTAAAGTTATTTTTATATATCAATAACTTACTTACTTGTAAGCCGAAACATGGGTCTACTACTTTATATATAAAGATGTTTGTACTCTAACCATGATTATATTTAACTAACTTTTTGAAATTTGAATAGCTCTTAATTTCTACTTGTATGATTATAATTTCAACCTAATAAAAAAAATCTTTATTTCCACAAAAAATAAAATTTATTGTATTTTCATTATTTTGTATCATGGTATAATTCTCTTGTTTAATTTCTTTTATATTTATCATTAAAATAATCACACAATATTTTTTTAAACCAATAATACAGTTGATGTTGAACTGCCCTTATATATTTTTTCTAACACATCATAATGTTGTGTTATGATCTTATTTATTTCTCTCTCTCTTTCTGTGTATATATATTAATTGAAAACACTCAATTTTGAAACTTGTTGAAACAGGAAATTCGACGTTATACATCTGCATCATATTGTAGAATATATATATATATATATATATACATCTTGTTTAAAATTTAAAACAATGATTTTCAATACTATTTAATGACACAACAACATAACAGTTATTATCTTCAGCCCAAACTCACTCTCAAGTTAATCTACATATATTGAAGATGTTAAATTTATGTAAAATTCATCTTTCACGGGAGTGTAGTGGAAGTTCTTTATTAAATTGTGAGTTACAACTAATACATAGGGTTTTGATTTTATTAGACAACACTTTATAGATCATTGCAAGCATCTGCACTAAACTTTGTGATGCTCAAAATGAAAGTTATGCTTTGATATGAGTGGTATATGGTTCGTGGTCCTTCGTAAAGAATAAAACATTTAATACTTCGGAAGGAAACTTTTAATTGCATATTGTTATCAAGTTATTCAGGTTTGCATCAATAAAAACCCAGAGGTTTACTTAACTGCAGCAGTATCATTAAAGAAAAGACAACGTAATGAGAGTATATATGTTTTAAGAGAAATCCTATTATGTGATTATCTTTATATTACCGCTTTTCCTCCCAACATGATGAATTCAATGCAAAACTTTCCTGGGTTTATTGTTGGTATTTCGACAAATATACTTTTATGAGAAAGTAAAAGCCAAGAAGCCATGTATTATAAGGGCGAACTCCCACATGTGTAACAAAGCGGACCTGCACGGAACAAAACCCCGCCGCAGACTTTAGGATGGATGAATAATAAATGAATGAAGATGTGAGGACTGGATGTGCATGATCAAGTGCCAGAGTGGATTGTTCTGAGCCAATCACGATTCTACCTATGAAATCCTTAGACGCGGAAAAGCGTTAGGCGAATGCCAGTTACCAAACGCCCCATACCGCTCGTCATTCTCCTCGCTACCCACCGACTCAGGCGCTGGACTCCATTTAGTGTTCCTCATCCGTTCTCCCTGTATTCTGAGTTCCGCGCGCGGTTAACGGGTCGTCTCACCGACGAGGCGCCGGTAGCAAACCCGCGTAACGCGAGCGCTATACATGGGTGCGCCATGCTCCCGGGCCCGGCGAACTGAAGGCCACCGCCGGCTGCCTGGTTCCTGCCCGCTTTCGTTCGCTGCGTCGTTTGCGCTTGGTCCTTTTCTTAGGGTTACTCTCTTGTTACCAAATCATGCCAAATTGCTCGCCACTTGTTCGGAATTCTTCTCGCAAGTGATTGCGTGGGGAGGTTTGATGATCGGGGTCATTGTGATGATCGGGATGTGAGAGTGCGCTGCGTGCCTATGTCGGTATAGCTAGGTAGTGGTGGTGTGCTGTCGACGATGGAGTTTGTGGTTTGTAGTTATCGTCACGGGGATGATTGTTCTCGGTGGCGGTGGCGGTGCTAGTGGGTGAGGTGGTGAGAGCATTGAGGGCTTCGCTCGTGGAGCGTTGGGAAGTTTTCAGCCGGAGAGGTTCAGGATTGTTGGGGCTGTATGATCTTGGAATGAGACAGGAATCAGGATAGGTCGAAGGAGCGCAGGATGAACGTCTCTTTTGGAGTTCTTAGTCGTGCTTCGCGTTTCGTTGGGAATAATTGATCGGTGTTTGGCGCCCTTGTAGCCTACCAGCTGCAGGGACTCTGTGGTTTTACTGTTGCGCTGTTTCACCGTTTTTTCTTTTTCTTTTTCGGTCGTCTTCGCACAGAAGGATTAGGCGAGAGGTGGAGGGATTATGTGAGTGTGGAACGGCTAGACATATCCGTGGCGAGAGGAAATGGTGTCGCAGGTGTTGAAGACGGATCCGCATTGGCCTCCTTTGGAAGAAAGTATGGGACAGGAACGGTATGCATTAAATACTGACGTCATACCGTCGTCTGCTGTTCCAGGTAGTCTTAACTCGTCGGTGCCCCAGCCTATGGATGTCTTGCAGAGTACTGCGCCCCCGCCTTTTCTTACTAAGACGTATGACATGGTGGATGATCCCGCCACTGATCCCGTGGTCTCTTGGAGTGCCGGCAACAATAGCTTTATAGTATGGAACCCTCCTGATTTCGCTCAAGAGCTTTTGCCGAAATATTTTAAGCACAACAACTTTTCCAGCTTCGTTCGGCAACTTAACACTTACGTAAGTTTCGCGCATGAATGTATGAGCCTATTTTTCAGTTTTGGTCTTTTTAGAAATAAGTGGTGGACACTGTTTGGTATGGTGTCCACGGGGTATAAGTACTAATCACTGACTTCAATCTTGATGCGGATGTATTTGCGGCTTTTATTGACTTTGTTGTGTCTTGTTAGGAAATAAAATGGTTTCGAAGTCATGAAACCAAAGAAGAAGACAGTGGATTTGATGGTCGACTCCAGATGTAGGCGTAGAGTTGACTGACTTCTTGATTCGCGTGCAAAATTTCTGCACCTTAAATGTATTCAGGAAGGTTCCAGTGTTTTGTGTAAATGCTATTTCGTTATTCGTTGAAATATGTCGATGATCTAAATTTGGATATGACTTCTTCAGGGATTCCGTAAGGTCGATCCGGATCGTTGGGAGTTTGCTAATGAGGGCTTCCTGCGCGGTAGGCGAGATCTTCTACGAAGTATCCATCGGCGCAAACCCGCAACACATTCCCAGCAATCAGTACAACAACAACAACAACAACAGCATCAGCAAAGCGAGCAGGGCCCTGTAGGACCCTGTGTAGAAGTTGGAAAGTTTGGGCTTGAAGGAGAAATTGAAAGGCTAAAGAGGGATAAAAACGTATTGATGATGGAATTGGTACGTCTGAGACAACAGCAGCAGAATACAGAACGAGACTTGCAGGTATCTGAATTTGCCCACGTAATTTTTCTTTTGCAGATTTGAATTTATTTTTTTATTTTTTAGTACGTTCTTTAATAGTCGGTGTCAAGATGGGCCAGGTCAAGTTCCGTTGCCTCACCGGATGCTCAGATGTTGAAGAGTAACGGGAGATTCTATTTCAGCATTGGAATGTGGATTCAGTTAACATTGCATTGTTGGATAATTGCCTAAAATCAAGTACTGTCACCATTTGGTTAATTTTTTCACTCAATCTTTGTAAGGTATTGTTTTACTAATTTGCGTTAGCACGTGAAAGCTGTATAAAACACCCTTGTAGGTCCTATAGCTAAGAATTTTGGGAAAGTCGCGACTGGAACCTGAATCTCCAGATTGGTAGTCTTGTCTCATTTTTGCTTGTGATGGAACTCTACTGAAAAACCCTATTCTGGAGCTCTAGCTTGTCAATTGAAGGGTGCACTTACCACAAGATTCATGTTCCTTGCATTTTCTTCGCAGGGTTTTAGCATTGGGTTTGTTTTGTGGAATCCTATGAGCGCTCTTCGTTAGTCCAGCCTTCAAGGACCATATGGCTTTTGATGAATGTAGCGTTGCATGCAGATGTAATATTCATATTTTAGGACTCATCAAAGCACCTGTTTTTGTTTTAGTGTTTGCTAAACACTGCAAATCGTTTGTGCAGGCAATGGGCCAACGCCTGCTAACCACCGAGAATCGGCAGCAACATATGATGTCTTTTCTTGCCAAAGCCATGCAGAATCCAAGTTTTTTGGCTCAACTTATGCAACAATCTGAGAACAAGAGACTCGCAGCAACTGTACGAAAAAAACGACGACTTCCTAAACAAGATTCTAGTGGAGATGATTCAGCTAACTCGGATTCCCCAGCTGATAACCAAATAGTGGCTTTTCATTCCAACGGAAACGCTGATAGTAATGGAGCTCGGGCCATGATTATGCAATTTTTTAATTCAACAGATGCTGCATCGTCACCTAGTCTTGACAGTGGTCCCCTTGAGGCTTTGTTTAGGGATCTAGGCTCCGCTCCTTCCGGTACAGACGTAGGTACACTCGCGAGCCGACAATCAGGTGTGACACTCACTGAAATGAATATACCAGGGCTTGGTGATTCTTTACCTGGACCTGTTGTCATGGATGCTTCAACCGAAATTTCTGACATGCACATACCCTCGCCTTTGTCAAATCGAATTCCAAGATTAGAAGGTATGTGCTTATTCAGTGTCATTGAATGGTCTCGTCTGCGAAACATCTGATTTGATTAATTTGCATTTTACAAGGTCATGAATTACCTGTTTATGGAATTGGGTATTAATTGTTTGTAGATATTTTTGAATTTTTTTATCAGGTGCCTTAAGTATGGACAATGGGAGTAATCACTCTAGTGGAGAAATCAAGCCTGATGGTCTTTCTGGAGAATCTATGGAATTTAATGCTGATGGAGGCAGAGCTCCTTCAGAGGGAGAAGAAGTAATTTCTAACCTTGGCAGTCCAGCCGTCTCAGCTGCAAACGATATATTTTGGGAGCAATTCTTAAGTGAAGCTCCATCAGGAGCGGATCATGAACTAGATCATGATTTAGATTTAGACCCTCGTGACAAAGAAACTGATGGAGATGAGATTGTGGAAGATTCAGTTGAAGTTTTAGCTGGAGAAGATGTTGGAGAAGTGAAAAACTGGTGGAGCAAGAAGCCAAGTGTTGAACAGCTCTCTGTTCAAATGGGGCAGCTTGCACCTGGATAGGGAGTAAAGGTGCGGTGATGCAGAGCGGGCATGATGTATGAGGCATGGGTAAATAAATGCGTTCCTTTTCCGCTCAAACTTCTCTAAGACATTGCACCCTGGACATCGCTAAGATCTCATCGTGCTTAATTCGAGATAGTCAGTAATCATGCACTTAAGTGGATACTTATGCTTAAGTCTCCAAGATATTACATACTGGGAGGTGATGGATGATCGCTAGGGGATCTGAAATACCTGGATTTGTACGAATCAGAGCCCTAGCTGATGGTGATCTTTTCGTGCTTAGCTGATTGGTTTTAGGTAGCTCACCTATCGCTTTGAGACGCTACAGTACCTCTACGTAAATTTTTGTCACAAAAATTTGATATCAATGTATGTGCGATTTCATACTTAAAACTCTACCATATCGTACACTAATATCAAGCGTCCCGTTCAGTTAGGATTTGTGTACAGGCTCACGAGGGTAATTACTAAGTCAAACGATGAAGACCTGATGTACCGGTAGATAGTAGACAATTGTTTCTATGGCCTTGTATCAACCTTTGTTTTTTACGTAATGACTTGCACAAAATGAAAGTTGTGAACTATTGGCTGATAGTTATTTGTTTAAACATGTTCAGGCTTATTTGTTTATGTGTGTATATGCATATTTATATAAATCTAGAGATTATGTACTTGTAAAAATACGTAATCTTAACATGTACTAGTTAAGATGTACTAGTTCCTGGTGCAGAATTAGAATGATCATAGTTGCTGTGAAACCAAGTGAATTGTTACGGACAGAAGAGATAACTCCTGGGATGGGCTACAAACACCTCACTTCTCACTGGTCATATATTTCTAAGCAACTTGGATTGTCATCGTTTACAGAGACGTGAAGAAAGAGGTCTGTCTATGATTCTGTGATTACACAAACAATTCAAAAAACTGCAGTCTCTGCTTGGAAAAATGTTGTAGATTAAAATTTCAACTATGAACTTGAAGATTTTTAGATATCATTTACAGAATGATGTAAGACAAAGCAATTTATATTTGAGTTTGTTGTAGATTCTTTAAAAAACATGGATTCTAGAACTTCTATTGTTATTCTTATAATATGAATTCAATCAAATAGATGTATTTTGTCCATAAATATATGTTGTTTTGTTTATTTTTATCTTGAATTTTTTAAATAACTAAATTGACATACATTCAAATAACATGAAATGTGTGGACCAGGTGAGGCTTGGAAAGAACAATTGTGGACCATCCACCACTTATAGTATTTCTATTTAGTTATATAATTCTAATTACTTAATCTATTCTCCCTAATTTCTAAATATATCATAGAAAATTTGCAAAACTTGATTGTGAATGCAACAATGATTACCTTCAATTGATAAGACCTAGACATATACTAAGGTTACATGGATATTATGGTTTAGATTTTTGTAATCTTTAGGGGCTTAGCAATTGAACTAAATGGCACTTAAATTATTTGTGGATCTAGTGATGGATAGTGCAAGCCGACCCTTATAGCTAATAACAATGGCACTTCAATTATTTGCTAGATATTAAGCATTGTATTAAATAATGTCCAAATTTAGGCTTGCCCAAGCAACTCCATAAAACAAGACAACCACCGTCCAGAATCAAAATTTAAAAAGTGAATAATCTACTTTGGCAGGCAATGAAGGTTTTACAATCGTAATAATCTGCTCAAGATCCATAAGAAGAACATTTACCAAGACAAAAAATAACCACTATAATTTGATTATAAAAAAAAAAAATCAAAGAAATATAATAAAGAATAAAAAGAGAGGCACTGTTATTTCAAGAGATATACCACTTCAATAGTAATCTTGGCCAAGAAGCTAAAATTCATCAAATTATTAATGGTGAACAACTAGATGTTGATATAATATATTTCTTGGAAAGTTTGATTATCAATTAACATATAATTCTTCTTTTTATAGTACCTTTGATAATAAAAATAATAATAATACACAATTTAGATGAGTGCTTCAACAATCTAAGACAAAAAAATCTTTTACAACTGCAATAATGCTTTAAGTTTTCTTGTTATAGACAAATTGATTTTTTTAGTCTATCTAGGGTTTCTCTCAAATGATAAAGCTCACAATACACAATTGAATAAAAAATATAACTTGACCAAATAAATTATTTTATTTTGTAAATAGAAATTTAATTATTAATCTTATATACCAATCAATTTTGAATACAATATTTTTGGTCAATTCAAAGAATCTAATATCTAGAGCTGTACAATATATTTAAAAAATAAATATAGTCTTTAGAATTACAAAAGTTATTAAAGATTATAAAATTACACTTGGTTATAATTTGAGAGAATAATTTTACTTAATATATTATTGATGTGTTCTTCTTAATATAATACAGTTAAACCAATTGCATTTAGAATCTTGTAGAAAAATTCTAGGAAAGTGTGGATCTAAAACCACACCTTTTAGCAATCATGGAGTATCAAAATAATGTAAACCACACAATATATAACTAAACTTTTTTTGATTAATAATATTGCATCGTAATAAATACTTAAGCAATATGAGTATAATCTACCTTGGTTTAAATTCAATCCATGAGGTTGATGCAATGCAATTATTTCAATGCCATTTTTATTTCCTTCTTAGTAGTAAGACAACTAAGAAGATACAGTCTACTTATAGTCTTAGCTATAATATAATTTTTGATAAGAAAAATATAGTCTATTTAAAGAAACTACCAGAAGAGACATATAATAGCATGCAATTTATAAAAAGATCTAAATTATATAGATTTAGATGCTGGATAAAGAAAATGAGTTGTAAAAAAAATGAGTTTTTATCTTTGTTGCTTGTATTTTAACTACTTGATCTAAATATAAGATCCAACCTTTATCTATTATTTTTAAAATCTCAACTCTGATACAATCTGTATCTATGTTGTTAATGTATAATGTAGCAACTTGCATCCCAATAATAATAAGCCTTCACTTTTATCCCACAATTAATACTTTATTACTAATTTGATTTTGGTTGAACAATTTTTACAAATAGAGAATGTAGAGACGAATTAAACAAGATCTATAAATTAGCATATGAATGAGCAGCCATATAAAAATAATCTTTACCTTTACATCTTACAAACAATCACACTACAAGTTCCTAAGTGCATATTAGTACAATCTCAAATATATGCCAAGAGAATCTCTATAATGCAAGCATTTGCAAGACCAATATTGATTCCACAAAGAAATGTTTTTCCTACCAATTCTAATGTTTTTAAAATCTTCATCCTTCTTCTTTTATTTATTTGATATAAAAATCTATCTCTTGCTGGAAAGATTTGTGGGTTGAATAATTTAATTTTTTTTCTGATTTTTTAAAATTATATTACATTTTTTGGCTGTAAAATAATAGATAAAATATCATATTAAAAAACTTAAGCTTGCAAAACTTGTATTCAAAACAAGTATATTAAACATCATATTACAAAAACTCAGAGATACAAGATTGTTTATCAAGTTAAATAAATATAAATTTATTGAATATTCATTAAGAACTTCTCTCAATGTGCTATTCGTTTTACACGACTAACTTCCAAGGACACATCAGAATAGAATAAGGATATAGAAGCAATATATATATATATATATATATTAAAAAAAAATTAACTCCTATTTTGTATTTTTTAGATTTTTCAAAGAAATTTTTATGAAAACAAATGTATGAAACTTTATATTCAATAAAATTGTATTTCAAATAGATGGAAATCATAGACTTCATTCTATTTCTTTTAATTTAATAAAATTTCTTAGCAATTCAAATTAATGACAAGCTCCAAGACAAAGAACCTTTTATTGTTGTAGATTAATTCCAACAATGTTATCACTACCTACAAGGTACTTCTAATCTAATCACTATTTATACTAGAATCTTAAGTAATTCATGTCAATACATCTCTTAAATTATTGCTACTCTAGTTGATACTACTTTCTTTTATGAATTTTATTCAAGTACATTAATAGATTTTTGTTCTTGATTTAAAAAATAACCTTCATAACTACTAAAAAAATTGAATTTAAGGACAATCTTTTTTATTATAAAAGATATTTATCTTTTCCAAAATATCAAGCATGATTATATATACTATATGTATGACATGACTTTCCAACAAAAAAAAAAATACTTTATTAGAACTTATTTTTTTTATAGACAAAATATTTAACTAAAATTTTTATTTTTATTTGCCAAATTTGTTTTGATAATATCCATTAAAATTATAGACTTTTAAATAATATAATATTTAATTGAAGATTCTAATTTATATCAAGATTTTAAGAGATGCTTTTGAATATATATATATATATATATTTTAAATAATGAATAAAAAATATAAAGATTAGATATTAGAGTAGTATTTACAATGGATTACCACTATCACTAAGAAAAATAGACAAGTCTATTGACATTAGAATTTTTTCACATAAAACTACTATATAACCTTCTAATTAATAAAATCTATTTTTTTAACAAAATCTATTTTTTATCTATTATGGTTATCATCCAATATTTTATTTTTTTATTTTTTTTCAAAAGTTAAAAATCTAGAAAAAATAAATTTGGTTAGTAGAGTATTAGAGCTTTACACAACAATAAAGATGTAGCTAAATGAGACTTAAGAACAATAATAAATTAATGTAAGTTTTTTTAAAAAAAACTTTTATTCAAATAGAAAACAACTAAGAGTTTGAAGTAGAAGTCTTAGAGACAAGGCAAAACATAGATAAATTAGGATCTCTTGTATATTGGCAAGGATATGATATTAATAAATGCACATAAGAACCATCCTCAAATTTTGCTAATGTGTGAGAGATTGTTATTGTTTTTCACTAACAACATCTATAAATACTAAGGATCAACCATTGATATTAAAATGGTGCAAATTAAGAAAAAAGAATTTTAAGAATCTGCTAGAAAACTACTTTAAAATCATAAAATATTAATAGCTAATAAATTTATTTAAAATATATATATATCTATTTATATTTATAATTTTTTAAAATTATGTATTTAGATTTATTTAACTTAAATAATATTAAAATAATTATAAAGAACTTAAAGAAACAAATGTCGTTTTTTAAAATATTAGTAATATAAAACATATTTGATATTACAAACTTTAAAGAGACTTGTGATACTTAGTGATACTATTAAAAATAGATATTATATCTAATAGAATGTTGAATGTAATGTTTGAAAGTAGTTATAAAAACTTCAACAATAATTAACTAATTGGGTAGTCTTCTTATGTTACTAAAAAACATATTAATGGTTGAAAGAACGTATCATTTACTTTCATAGAAAACATATATCAAAGTTTGTTGCTAATTCTATTTGATTGATTTTGGACTTTATCAATTTATAAAGAAATTTGATTGTATCTTGTGAAATCTACGATCTAAAAGAGAGGAATAATATAAATAAATTCTATATTATTTAAATAAACAGAAATAATTAAAATCAAATAGAAATAAATAAAAGTACATGAAAACATGTTAGAAAGATTTTATCTTCTTTAAGGAGATTTAAAGAAGTTTTTTTTAAATATAAATTAGATAATTATGTTTTTATAGATTTTCTACATAGTCATTAAAAATTATTTTATAATTTTCACATTATTTAAGAAGTTATAATAAAATCAACTTACAACTTGATTTTTAAACCACAAGCCTTGCGGTTTCTAGAAAGCTTTTACAAGACTTTGATAGTTAGTAAATATAAAGGCAAGATTAAAGTCATTTTTAGTCCTGTCAATACTTTTTCTTGTATTCTAGTCTTTTTTTAAGATTCTTTAATCTTTTGTATTTGAAAATATTTATTTTAATCTTTCTTATCTTATAACTATATTTACTTTTTTTATTTGTTTGTTTTTTTTTTTTTTTGTTTTTTTTTTTGTTTTTTTTTTTTTTTTATAGTGATACATGAATATATTATTTGTTAGACTTTATCTAAATTAGTATCTTCACTAATAAAATTCTAATAGTATTTAATGATATATTTTTTAAAAATTAATCTTGCTAATTTAAGATTATTATAGTAAAATAAATCTAATCTATAAATAAATTAGATATCTTATAGTATTAAATTTATTTAATATCTAAAAATATATCAAAACAAAAAATATATCTTATGTCCAAAAAAAATAAAATCTTTGTATGTTAGAGTATAGATATTTGTACATGATACAAAAGAAGGAGTTCTATTTTTCATTTATGTAATACCAAGTTTTTATTTAAGTAAGAGTTGCAACAAAATCTTAAAGCAATATAAGAAGTATAAAAATATATTTGTAATTATATTTTTATTTTATTTACGAACCATTAATCTTATAATTTCACACTTATTCTTAACTAAGGAGCTCAACCACCATTTAGACCAATTTACAATTCATTAAAGAATGAGTTGGCTTCTTTTATAGAAGATATTAATGTAAATTTTTTAATTTTTTAATTTTTTAATTCTTTTTTTTTAATCTTTAAGAAATCTCCTACAAGCATACCAATCATCTTTGTAAAGTAAAATAATAAATCCTTGCATATGAGTGTAGCTTATTGTAGATCCAACAAAATAAAAAATAAAAAATATTATATTATTTTGAAGTTAGAATTCATTGGTGTTTATAAATAACACAATAAAAATAAACTAATAATTTTTTTTAAGTTATAGAAAATACTTGCTTTTTCATAATCTTATTTTGTCTAACCTTAATCAAGATCTTTAATTACAAATTCAAGTGCTTCAACATTAGTCTTTCATAATTGACATTTTTTGAATATATTTGGTAAGATTTTTATTTTTATTTTTATTTTTCTAATTTTTACATGTAATTTTTTAAACTATATCAAGAAAAATTATTTGTGTATAGCCAATATAACTCTTATTTGTACTTTCTTATAACAGAAAGTTTTGTGAGTCTATTTGTGGCCTTTTGCTAAATATTTAAATAATAAGATATAATATATTCAAAATTTTATATATAAAGTCATTTACAATTATTTCTTATATAAGACATGATTCTATTTGTCTTATATTTAATAATATAAAATACTTATTTTCTAATATAGGATTCTATTAAAGGATATGAAAAAAGGATTCAATTCTTATGTATGCTTGAATTGCATGGAGGAAGCAACCTTGCATTCAAAGGTCCATGACTACTTATTGTCATTGTAGACTAGATTGTAAATGTTCTAGTTGTTCTATATTAAAAGGAAAATTAAGTAGAATAATGTCCTATGTTTCAATGAAATTTCATATATTAGAAGAACTTTGTCATTGACAAGATTGGGCCTTTTTAGTGAAAATACCACAATTTAATTACTTAGTTACTTGAATTTTGTATAACACAAAATCACTTACATTTTTTTATTAATTAAATTTTAGCCAACAAAGAAATGCTTTTCTTATTCAACTATGCAATATTTGAATTATTAAGTGAAAAAAATATATGTATATATATATATATATATATATATATATATATATATTTACATATTTAAAATTATATTTTATTCGTATTCTAATATTAAAAGTAAACTAACTTGTTTATATTTTAATAAAAACTGAATAAAATCAATACATTTTTTTTCATGTTTTTTTATATTTATGATATTATTATACTAAATAAACTACATCTAGGAGTAAATAATATAACTTTACTTTAATTTCAATATTTTAAGAATTCACTTTAAATAATTAGTAATACAATTCAAGGCACTAAGTTTTTTTTGATGGATTTCATATATTTACATGTATTTTACTACACAAATAGCTCTGACAAGTTCCTACACATGCTGGTAGTAGATCATTTAAAGATCAAATTTGTTCTAACCCAAATTAAGATTTAAAAATTGTTATGAATTAATGTAGTATATGGTATAGATTTGAGTTGGAAACAACTCAATTAACTGACCTGTCTCACAGTACTAACTTTTATATGTTTATTGTTAAATCATCTGCTGTATTTTCTTTTTCTCATGACATATTTTTACATATTTCAAAATATTCATAGTAATCAACACTGTATGACTTAACAGAACTCCTTAAAGTGATTACATGGATAGATAATAATAATAATAGTAAACATAATACTTATTACATCCTAAATTTTGAAATCTAAGTTTGTTAAAAGCACTAACCGTGAAGCATTTCAAGTATCATCTTTAAATTCTATTCATCTACTATCGTCCTTTTATTTTATTTATTTTATTTATATAAAATTTTATATCATTAAAAGTTAATATATTTTTATCAAGAATATAATATATCATTTTCCATTTATATTTATTGAATATACACACACATTCAAATTCATACACACCAACATACGAAAATTAGAGCACCAGGAAGAGCAATGAACAAACGATTCAATGCTGGATGAGAGAAGAATGAAAAACAAATGATCTCGTTCATTCGTTCGTTTCGACCGTGAATGTGGATGAAACCCTAATCCCGGGAAGGGGAGGGAGGACAAAGCAGGGAGAGGCACCCATTGCCGGTCCTCTTCGAGCGAATTCGAGTGTGTGTCTGACTGCCCGCACCCTAGTCCGCCACCATGGTGACCCCTCTCATCAAGCGCGATGTCGTCAAGAAGCGCGTCAAGAAATTTAAGCGCATGCAGTCTGACCGCAAGATTTGCGTCAAGGTATCGGACCTCTCCACGAAGTAATTGAACGTTCCTGCTTCTAAGTGTCTGAATTTTAGTGCCTTTAGGGCTTAGAAATCTTAGGGCTGGATTTTTTTCGTGCGTGGAGGGTTTGTTGAGTTAATGTCCTGCTTCTGCGGGGCAGTTCCGAGTACTGAGTTGTATTAAGGGGTTTTCGTGTGCGTAATGTGCTCTAACATGTTAACGCATCTGTGGAGTTAGATGTCTGATGTGCTGGGAATTATATCCCAGAGATGGCGGTCTGTTTGTATGTTTTGTATAAGTTTTTAGATGTTTGGAAAGCAGTTTCGGCGGTCTTTTTCCGAACTCACTCTTCATGTCTAGGGTGCTGATAATATTTGTTTATGTTCTGCGTCAGACAAACTGGAGGAGGCCAAAGGGTATTGACTCTAGGGTTCGTCGTAAGTTCAAGGGAACTACTTTGATGCCCAACATTGGTTACGGGTCTAACAAGAAGACGAGACATGTGCTGCCAAGTGGCTTCGTTAAGTTTTTGGTTCACAATGTGAAAGACCTTGAGCTTCTGTTGATGCACAACAGGTGAGTAGTGTAGTGGTGTTTTGTTTCTTCCCCTTTGTCTAGTTGATAAGAATTAGGTTATTCTGAATGTCTACAAATGGTTTGATATAAAATAGACAACATTCTGGTCGTGAATCACAAGCCGATTGCAAGTGTTGTATTAAGCATGGGACAATATATATTACTTGCGGGTGATGTAGTCTGGTTTTCTCCCTGATGGTATTTGTTCAGCTTCATGATGTTTTAGAGGAGGTTGCATTTCGCGCACTTCAGAAGCGGTTGAATTTCGGTTTTTGTTTCATTCAACAGTCTTGCTCGGTTTTTGTCCATATTTTACATTTTCTCACTATGGTGATCTTTCAGATTTCACTAGTAGGCGTATCGATAATTGATTTCATGTAAATGGTTAAACCACAGGAAATACAGCGCTGAAATTGCACACAACGTGTCCACTTTGAAGCGGAAGGCCATTGTGGAGCGTGCTGCTCAGTTGAACGTTGCATTGACCAACGGAAGTGCTCGTCTCCGCAGCCAGGAGGACGAATAGATGTGCTGTAGTGCACTTGTTTCCTGCAGAGTGGATGTATTTCACTTTTTCCATATCAAAGAGGAAGGCTTACTGCTGCAAATCCTTTTGAAGGGATATAGTTTTTTCCTATTTTATCCGATATCCCATTTCTTGTGTGATGCGTGGTCTCAACCGAAGTTCTCTCTGCATGGTGTTTTCAAATTTAGTGACAGATGTTTTGAACGATATACATTGACTAAAGTGTGTTTTTTGAAGTTTTCTTTATTTGAGCTTTCTAGCAACGAAAGCGCTGCTTAATCTCGATGAGGCTATAGTTCGTGTCAGTCAGTACTACGGAGGGAATCTCAATTGTTCACATAGTAATCGCGTAAGGGTATATTTTACTGTGCTCAAATTTCAGAATTACTCTATGTCGGGCCACATAATTAACCCACAATCTTCCCACTTTCTAAATTATAGCGGGGTTTGATGCCGGGGTAGTGTAAAACCTTGGTGGTCACAGTCGGAATGACCACCTCTACCCATTCTCATTGGACGGCCATTCTTGTCACCCGTGATAGCAATTCAACGTCTGTTTAAGAGTTTTAAGTAACCCCTTCTAGTCCTAAACAATGCCCGTAATGCATGACTCAAAATTTAGCCTTATAGCCCAGGAGCCTGATGGGTTCGTTGACCTTGAACATTCTCAAGTCTATGTTTTTCCCGATTCCACTCTACCTGGATGAAGCGAATTTAATTTTCAATCAAGTCTGATACCCATTTAACAAAGAACTTTGCTGGTACTGTTAGGTCTCCTGGTAAACCAGTTTCACATCCCCGTGCTGGTTCTGTTGTATGTGGAAGGCAGAAGATCTTGTAACCAGGTTACCATTAGAACGGGGTCTGCTCGTGCCCATATTCTACTACTTACAGTCAAAGAACAAAGCGGTCAGGTCAAAACTGCTTTAGTAGTCATCAACAGTAGTTGTACAGAACTTATTTGGTATTGATCAGTTGCGTAGATTACTTCATCTGATTTGTGTATGGACTTACTAATCTAAATGCCCTTTTAGCTGCAGTAGGGTCCTGTAAGACTGTACTTTGGTTGTAAATCAATTGCAAATTGAAACCAACAAAGGGCTTGATGGAGAGAAAGTGGGAAAGGAAGTGGTGTTGCACTTTTCTAGGAGATTATGGCTACATGACTAAATTACATCAATTCCACTTTAGGAGCATGCAACTTCCCCTACCAAATTCTGGGAGGTTGCAAGTCCCTCCACCTTTCACTACCATACAGGATTCAAGTCCTCTACCTTTATATTCCTTGGAAGGATTCAATTCCTCCTTGGAAAAGGTTGATTATTTGAGGACAATACACTGCACTCATCACACATTAATTTCTTTGTTTTTTTGATAGTATATATATATATATATATATATATTTTTGTACTAGATTTTAAAGGTTTTTTACCAATAGTTTTTACTACATTTTGTAATTCTAATGTGCAATAGATGTTGTAATTATTTCCAAAAAATGATATATTATTTTTATTGGAATTTTGTAATAAGTAAGTTAAGATACATTAGCATGTATCTCCTACCTAAAAATAAAATGTGTATATAACAATACAATATTATATTGTCTATATATTATTTTTAGCAACTTATTAATCTTTTATTTTTTACATTTAAGCTTCATTTTATCATATTTCTTTAATAGACTATAGGCCTATACATGCTAAAACTTTGAAATATAAGATAGTTTTGTTGATCATATCTTTTGCTTGTCTTAGAATTTGGATGTGCTAATTTATAAAATAAGGAAAGGATTTGTACTATATTTGATTGAAAATAAATAAAATTTTCTTAAAAAGTAATTTTTATCTATATATATATATTTTATGTATATGTATATACTTGTGCTATTTTAGAAAATAAAAGACTTTATTGATATTATTATACTTTGTTGTAGAAAAATCTAATTAAACTTTGTAAATTTGAATAATAAAAAACTTATTTTATATGTTACATATGCTTTGAAGTATATTTTGTTCAAGCAAGTTACTTTTATTTATATAAATGATTTAAGAAAATTTTAAGTTGTAAAAATATTAGAAGAAAAAACATATTTTTGAAGTTTGAAGAAATCTTGTGAATGATGATTAAAATTTCATAATATTACAAAATACATTAAAAATTAAGAATTGTCTTTTTTATCATTTAAAAAAAAATAAAATTTTTTTAATTAAAAAAAATTTAAAGATATAAACAATATAATATATTATCTAAAAAAGCTAAAATTCAATGAAGAGATAATTTAATTGGAAGACAACTTATCTAGATAAGACTAATTGTTTGTACAAAAATTGGTTGTAAATAATTATGAATGTATATACATTATTGGATAATTTTGTATAGATATGTTTAATTATTAAAAGATAAAAGTGAAGTTATTATTGACAATATTAGACCTTTAAGCATTACTCACGGTTTTTAACATATTTTACCAAAAAAAAAAGATATTAATATGAAGTAAAAACTAAAAATTTTGTCCAATAAATGTAATAGATGCCTATATAATATAAATAAATAAAAGTACACTAAAGTACATTAAGTGAGTAGAAATATGTCAAGTAAATATTATTATTCTTAAAAAACTTTAAGAAAGTTTTATAGACACAAATTTGCTACGTAAACTCTTACATGTGGCTGTTAAAACTTATTCTATAAGGTTATAACTTTTACAAAGCTATTTTAAAAGTAATCTAGAACTTTATATATAAGCAACAAATAATGTATAAGCAACTTTTATGTATAAGCAACTTTATAGAACTTTATATATAAGCAACTTTATGTATAAGCTTTATAAAAACTATAAGCTTCTACATAACCTTATTACTAGTTTGTGCATATATATATATATATATATATAAAGAGAGAGAGAGAGAGAGAGAGAGAGAGAGATAAGACTAAGACTGTCCTTAAACTTGTAAATACCTATTTTCTATTTTACTCTTGATTTAAGATTCTCTCAATTCTTTATAATTGGCAATAGCTATTTTAGTATTTTTTATATATCTGTTTCTTATTTATTTAATTTCTTTCTTTCAATGATTGAAAAGTATATTGTCTTTTCAAAGATTTGACTTAATCTATGTTCTTGATAAGAAAAAGTTTTAGCTTAATTCTTTCTAATTTAGACAATATCAATATTGTACATATTATTTTATGCTAAAAAGTAGAAAAAAACATAAAAGAGATGTTTATAATATTGATAAGGATAAAAATTTGAAAAATATATATAAACAAATTTTTTATATGTGCATCACATTAACCAACTTGTACTACAAATAGCCAATATGTGTGATATATTGTTATAATATGTATTATCTTATTTGAGAATGTACTATGTATCTAGTTTTAGAATGTAAATTGTATTTGCAATAAACAAAGAACCTAAAAAATCATAATAAAACTATAAAATAAACTTTAATTAAATCTTATTTTTAAAGTAAAATCTTAATAAAACCTTAAAGAATATTAAAAAATCTTAAAAAATGATTAGTTAATTCATAAAAACATAAAAGAAATCATAAAAAACATTAAAAGAAACTATAAAGAAACCTTGAAAAATTCATAAAGAAATCACAAAGAAATTTCAAAGAAAAAAAAAAAAAACTAAAGAAATCATAAAAATACTAAAGAAATTATAAAGAAATCCTAAAGAATCTTTAAGTGAATACTAAAAATATTCTAATAAAATTATAAGTAAATCCTCATTCAATCCTAAATAAATTCTAATAATCTTAATAAAATTCTAATTTTTTTTTAATAAATTATATTAAAATCTTAACTAATACCTAATTAAATCTAATTAACTCTAAAATTATTTCAAAACTTTGACAATTAATGATTAAAGTATTTATCTTAGTTAATTTTTTTCATACATTAAAATTTGATGGTTAAAATAAAGTACAACAATTAAAAAAAAGAATCCAACTTATCAATTTAAGAAAAAAGTTTATTAATTGCTTGGGTGTTGGCCATCCTCCTTATTTAACCTTGATATTGATCTTCTAGTAGCAATAAATTTTTATTGAATTATTTATTTTCAATAAAAATCAACAAAATTGTTAAAATCCATTCTCAAAATCTGCTTACAAAATATTGCTTTAATCTAACTAGTAAATTATTCAATGTCAAAAAAATCCATTATTGCTCTTGAAATCTAAATTCTAAGATCCTAAAACAATTGGATTTCAATAACCTTTGATTCATTCATTTGATTGAGTTTAAATTCACAAAAAATATTTAAAATAAATAGATGTATAAGTCCACAAATCTATTATATAAGTTTGCTCAGTCAGTGACAATTTATACAAACCACCGAGACAAAATAACAATCTCATTGATTACATGCATATTTTTGTTTTCATCAATCCTAATGTGAACTTTACAAAACATGAAATGGAAATCATAGAACGTAAATAAAGAGTTTGTTTAAGTGCATAGAACTTGAAATGGAATTCACAAAATATGAACAATGTATTTGTTGAAATTCATATCTCTTTATTTTTATGAAAAAAATTTAATTTTTGTGTTCAAATATGTGCAATATATTGTGGGCTTTACAATCTCTAATAGAATTATAATTTATTTGCAACTTAATAGAATGTAATTGATGCATGCATGTGTTTTTTTTTTTGATGAAAATAAAGACACATGCATGAAACAAACATATTTTGTGTCTTTCTTTTAGAAGCTACTTTGATGCTCAATTTGTAAAACTTTACATTTTTTTTATGCTTGCAATTTATATCTTAATTCATAAGTATTTATTATCATATTTATTATTATAAATATTTATTGATACAAGTATTTATTGATACAAGTATTTATTGATACAAGTATTTATTGATACAAGTATTTATTGATAGAATTATTTATTAACACAAGTATTTATTATTATAATTAATTATATTTAAAGCACATTTAAAATTTGGAATTTGAAGAATTGAGAATTGTGTTAGAAAAGTTGCAGTTGTTTCTATTTGTGAGTATAGTTTTATGCTCACCAATGTCTTTCTTAAGATCAATTGGAGTCAAGTTGCACTATGGATTAATTGCAAGAAGATTGTCTACATTGCATTACATTGGATTATTTTTTAAAAAAAAATTT